AATCAGAGGTCTGCAACTTTTGGATCCTATGTATTTTTTTCTCTTTGGTGTGTTTTTAAGCCTGAAAGGTTTTGACTCTGCCCACAAGCCTTTCATATGCCAAATTTCTTAAACGTTAAGATGTTATTTTCTACTTTAAGTGTTTGTAAAATACAGTATGTCACGGGCACTTCAGGTTCATAACTTTGTGCACTCTCCTGGAATATTTCTGGCCTTGAGCTCAAAATCTCCTGGTAATGAAGGATTTAAGGAGATAGTTTGCAGCATATGACAAATAAACAACATAACATCGCTTACGGTTCACCTCTATTCTTTAACTGCAACAACTGGATGTTAGATGTTTGTCCTCCAGGCTTTTTAAACTTTGACAAAATGTGTAGATTTACTGTATGAACAGTTGCAGCTTTTGTGGAAACAAATGTGAAAGCTACCCCCCCCCCCCCCACCCCACACACACACACACACACTGTGCAACTATTCCCCTCAAAGGAGCTTCAAACAAGTCACAGTAACCTCTGTGTAATCTTGTTACATGTACAGTAATCTGCGACCTGCCGACCCCTGGAGGCCATATAGACTGGGGCATCTGTAGTGGAAGAGCAATGCCAAGATGAGTGCTGCCAGGTCCCGATGTTCTGTGTTTTCATTAGCATGGTCATTCAGGTGTCTGTTTGTAAGAAGCTGAACACAGGATTAAATGCACTGAGAGCCAGAAAATGTGTGTTTTGGACTGTGTCATTCTTTACTGCACTAATCACCTGAGAGCAGAGAACATCTCCCCATTAGAAGTTTGGGTCACATTTGTACTGTACAGTAGATCAAGGGCTATTTTGTTTATAGCATGGAGAGGGGGGGATCCAGACTTAAAAAAAAAGATCAGTGGTTGATTGAGAGTGAACAATGAATGGGAGAAGTGAAGAAGACTATGGTAATCTGCAGAAGTGCAATCAGCCTCTAATTACATAAAACTGTTTCTGCCCCAGAAAACGCTAATTCGTGAACCACAGAGAGACATTTGGTGAGTATTTTTATTTCCCTTTAACAATGATGTTACTAGATCACTCAGCTGCTTTGTCCAAAGAAAATTCCTTTTTTATATTTGTTTGGACTGAATGGGGGGAAAACGAGGCATAAGGCTAAAAATAATGATCAAATCTATGATTTATTTTAAGTTAGCTACATAACAACCCACACAACAGACAGGCATGGGTCAGATCTGGTGTCAAGCTGGCACTGCTGGCTTGGCAAGTGGTTTGTCCACTGGATGTGGACCAGCTCTGCCAATGGTGACACTGTTTATATGAGGGCATTAGGGATGAATAATTTAGGAAAATGTTTAATTGCGATTATTTACCTCAATATTGCAATTGCGATTTAACATGCAATTATTTTTCAATGTCTTCTTCTCATGTATTTTTCAACAAACACAAACAATAAATTAATCTGTTTCAGTTGCAAAAAACTCCACTGTTTTCAGCTCCGCTGCAACTCTGTTTCTGCATTTTTTGTATAGCTCTGGGACAGCAACTTGGCTAAAGTGTGTGCGTGAGTGCATTCTGTACCGCTGATCCATTGTGTTTAAAGCTGTAAACCCAGGCTTGGTCACTATGTTAATGGGCATCATGTCTTTCACTATGAACTTCATTACTGCTCGAGTTATTTCCACGTGCCGTTTCAAATTATGTTCATACGGAGTAATGCCTTCGAACTGTTCGGTCAGTGATCCCTGTCATCTGGTACTTTACTTACTTGAAGTTGTAGCACTGCTCGTTGACGTTCTAGCCATGCAACCATTGTAAATGGCTTTGTGGTGTTTTTTAAAGTGTTGATAAAGATTTGTGGTGTTGTGTGTGTTTATGCGCAGCATCTTCTTCTTTTATAGCTAAAATAATTCCAAACAACGGACGTGCTGCCGCTCTTTGGTACCGAACTTTCAGATGTAGCAGCTTATGTCGAGCCTGACGTCATTGTACAACTGGTTAAAGCGCAGTGTTGACTTCTCCCACTACCTGCTCTGCTTTGCTCCACTCACTCGCAAGTCACATAACCAGATCACTTGACCATTCAAACTGCAGCCTTCCCAATTATAAAATCTAATTTTATCATATCGTGATATTATTGCAAATGCAATTAATTGTTCAGCCCTAGATGGCATGCCATAAATGTTTCTCAGATCTGTCAGTGCTACAACTGGCTTGGTTGTTGTTTGCTTTATGTGGTCAAAATCTGTCTCATATGAGCAGGCACGCATTTGTTATTTTAAGTGTGAACCATAAAGAGTGTTTATAACTTGCTTTTAACATGACCTCATCTGTTGTAAATGTATTTAAGGCCTGACTTTTGTCTCTTTCTTACTCACATTCCAAATTTTTAAGCACCTACTGTACGTTTTCCTAACAAGGTCAGATACTCAACTGAAAAGTCCAAAGATAAACTTGGAAAGACCTTAAAACTATCGATCAAGACACCTTCAAAAGATCACAAAAACATCTGGCTTATTAGAAGCAAATTCAAATTCAAGCTCATTATGAAGAAACTAAGAACAGCTTAAAACTTTAGCACTGTAGCAAATGGTCAAACTTTTTTCAAGTTGCTGCTATCATGGATCACAGTATACTAAGACCTATGATTCCTGAGATGTCCCTCAGGAAACACCAGTTTATAGTTTCTGGTTTTACTCAGGTGCAGATCTAAACTGAAGATAAACTTGCAGAAACTTCAAGTACTGCAACAAGTAGTGGAAGAGTTTCTTGTTTCGCTAGAGAAGATAAACATTTAATAAAAGGAAACCGAGCATGACCACTCATCAAGGATGTGGGAAGAATGGAGATTAGATTACTAACCTAATGACAAACATATGAACTAAAAAAAACAGTTGTCCTGTTTATCTTTGAGACATAAAGTATGTCCTCAGAGGGTTCTATACAAGAACTCATGTTCAAATACATGTTCCACAAATTGTTCCAGAAACATCAACTTGTGTTTATCTAACAGCCCTCATAGGTTGAATTTAAGTTTTAAAAAAAAGACCTCTGATTTTTTTTTGTAACTATTTAATTCCCAGGACATTTTGCCATTATTGGTTCAGACTCATTTCTATGAAACTCTCACAAGACGTAAATTTGTTCTTCGGCCTTGTGAATGACGGTGCACTTCTCGATTCCTGTTGCACGCCAATTCAGTGCGAGACTAAACTAAAAGAGCCACGGAGCAAAAACTATACCGGGTTTGTTTCTGCAGGCATACAAACAGCAAAGCATAAGATTGTACAGTCAATGCATTTGTTACAAAAACGTCCAAACCCACCTAAAGGGACGCAGATTGCAGTGAATGAAAGAGTTGTCCGTAGATAAAGGAAAGCCCAACTTGGTGTTGTATCTGTGCTTTTTTGTGATTTTATTTTTTCCTTTGGGTTCTGTTGTTTTCCTGTCCAGTTTAGATCTCTTGTATTTTTGTATTCCTTGTTCCATCTCCCATTCACCCTCAGTAAGTACCCTCAGTAGTTTTTCCAGTCAGCCTGCTACCCTCACCTGTCCCCAATCTATAATCAGCCCAGGTGTTCCAGCTTTCTGTCTCGCTCACATTTGTATTTATATGTTCCTTTGTCTCCACCTCACCAATGGATCATTATTCTGAAAACCTCTCAGACGTCTCGGCCCTCCTTGGCAAAGACAATCTTTTTTTTACAAACACATTTTCAACTAAATATCAGCTTTTTATACGTTATTCCAATAAAATTACCTATACAGTGTCACACCATAAGACTTAAGCATGGGTTGGCATAAAAGACAAAAAAGAAGGGGGAGTGGTGGCATAGAGGCTAGAGAAGGTAAGCCGGTGATCAGAAGGTCGCCGGTTTAACTCCCCGGACCAACACTATCAAAATGTGGGTGGAAAAAGTGAAGCCCCCATATATGCCTCCACCCTTATTTGTCCCACTCTGAACCCTTAAGCAAGGCCCTTAACCCCCATCGTCTGCTCCCCTGAGCGCCCTAGATGGCAGCTCTTTGCTTCACACAGAAGGCTGTGGTAGCTCAGTGGTCTGTGGTTGTGTCAGGAAGGGCATCCGCCATAAAAACAATTGCCAAGTCTTTCTGCGAGTTAGTTCACTGTGGCGACCAATGAAGAAGGGAGCAGCCGAAAGAAACAAACAAAAAGACAAAAAAGGGTTTTTGATGTTCTAAATCCCTGTATATTGGCCACAATTATTCTGTGCCAGCAAACCAGCTGACCATCTAATTTGACCTGTAATAAAAAAAGTTTAAAAGACAAAATTGTACTAATTATTTAGGTGATTAACCGTTGCTTAGTGTAGAAAAAATCCCCAGTTTGTGGTAACATCTGGCATGAGCATTCTAAGCAGTGCAAAAAACATCTTAGTACTTCTCTGGAAAAAAAACAACAACAAAAACACTTTCTAACAATAGAGCTGCAAGAGGGTTTGTAAAGTGAGTTTAGAAGAGTCCAGGAGATGACTGTGTTCAGCCATTATTCAGTTTATGCCATAAAAGTCCATCAGAAACAAAGACGCACCAACTCTGACTCAGTGAATGTTGCATGACTCAGCCCGGGAGCTTCCTGCTCTTTATAAACACAGTAGGCTTCTAGTGGCTTGTGCTGGTAAACGCTACTGAAAACCAGTGATAGTGACGCTCTTATAAAGAACAGCGGGGACTTTGGGCTTCATAATGACACTTGCTGAGGTAAACATTGAGTTTGCATGGAAATGTGTTCACAGTTTGTCACTGGATTACGAGCTATAGCCACAGACTGTGCTGAGTTTAACCACTGAAATGTGAGCGTTTCACGAGCTTACCTCGCTCTTTCTTCTCCTTTGAGAAGGAGTCAAATCTCTTGCGTAGGGATTTCCTCCGTTTGCGTATTTCTGTGAAAGCAAGACAGGGAATGATTTAACATGTTGGTTACAGCTGAGATTACAGTTTATGGACTGAAATCTGTTTTGTTTTTTCAGTAACTTGGTGAAATCCTAAAACACTGGTGATATTCTGCTGTCGTTTAAACAGCTAGAAGTGAATTTAATCGGCTCCGTCGTGTCTTCTTCCCATCACATAAAGATTTAACGACCGTAGAACGACGCTTTTCTCTTCTCTCAGTGATTATATCAACAGCAGACAATAAAACCTCAATAGACTAGCTACAGTGGTTTGAACAGCCTACTTTAATCACTGTACATTCAAAACACATGTGTCAGGGAAAAGACAGCAAGCGATAAATGCATAATGCAGAAGCGTGTTTAAATATGCACACATACTCAGACATGCATGCTTGTGTCAGTGGCGAAAGAACAAATGGTTAATTTATCATTTATTTACATTACATCATTGTCTTGATTACATTACTTGGTACAGAGCTAGGAGATGTCAGGTTGCTGAAATCAGCTGATTCAATTAACCTCTCAGAAAGTCCACTGTTAGGCTGATGGTCCTCCTTTTACATGGGAATAGCTAGTTCTGGCTGTCACCAGCAAACTGGTTGATCCACTATGACAAGGTGCTGTTTATAAGATTGAGTTTGCTGCAGAGTCTCAGACTGATTGTTTTTTCGATAAAAGACTAAACGTTTCAACAAAGAAGAATCCATCCAGAGGACCTGACTCAACCTTGTTAGATCTCAGAAAGTCATTATCAAATGCATATAACTGATAAACTGTTGGTGTTCACCAAATTTAAGACGGTCACCATAGCTATTCAACCTTAGCAAACACAAAAATTGAATGGAGTCAGTTTTACAGATATTGAGCTCAAATTTGGTGTAACAGAAGCGTCAGTAACACATACTCCAATTGCTGACATATTGTACAAGAGCTCTTTTTTCAATGCTGGCATGCAAGTTGGTGGGTGATATGTATTCCTTAAAGGAAGGCTGCCTGATGGTGTAGATGTAGAGCAGCTGACTGGGGACCAGAAAGTCTTGGTTTGGCTCCCAGCCATTCCCACATGTTGTGATGTCGCTAAACAAGACATCTAATCCCTAATTGCGCCCCAGGTGCTGCTTACATAGCTACCCACTGCTCCACCTGGGTGTATCTCAGGTGCCATGGGTTAAAAGCAGAAAACTAATTTTGCCATTGTATGGGAACATACAATGATGCAATCTCAGACTTCCCTTCTCTTTTATTTGCAATCTGATTTTACTACAGGTAGTTGTGTTGGTATGGGGGAGTGGTGGTGCAGAGGTTACAGAAGGTGGGCCTGTGATTGGAAGGTCACTGATTCAACCCCCTGGCCTGGACCAACAAAGGTAGGAGAAGTGAAGCACCCACACCTGCCTCCACCCTTGTTTTCCCCGCTCTGGGCCCTTGAGCAAGGTCCTTAACCCCTACCATCTGCTCCCCCCAGGCACCCTAGATAGCAGCTCTCTGCTCCACACAGAGGGCTGTGGTAACTCGGTGGTCTGTGGTTGTGTCAGGAAGGGCATTCAGTGAGCAGCCACAGGCCACGCACTAAGCCTTGGTATGTATGGATGGCAGGATGAGCTTTTAATACTTGACAACAATTGTGGTTTTTCTTCTCGCATTTTATTACAGGTTTTCTCGAACCGTTATACACAGTGTTAGTCATCACTGCACATAAAATCAACAAAAAAACCATGTTTGTAAATACTTGAATAAATGGCAACTAGTACACAAGCACCAAGAAAATCTTTCAATAATCACTTCAAGGGTCACTAAGATAGTCCTAAACGTTACCATCACTACAATATGTTGGCTATGATGAAAGTATTCTGTTGATTCCAACAATTTTCAGTCAGGTCATGTGGACAGTTTCTTTTTTTGCTGAAACGTTTCACCTTCCATTCGGAAGGCTTCATCAGTCAAGGAAACACACAACACAAAAGTGATTCTTCCCCCAAACAGCTTACTCCAACGTGGAACAAACCAGTTATGTTGGTGCTAACCTGGTGTCTTTGGCACGCCCCCTCCTCTGGCAACTGGGGAGGGGGTGTGGAAGGTGAAACGTTTCAGCAAAAAAGAAATTGTCCAGTTGACCCGGACTGAAAATTGTTGGATTTTATGAATTATTGAGCATGGACTGTTTTGGTATTCTGGTGATTTTGTCCATGAGCATGTGTACATGTGTAAATGTTGAAAAAAAAAAAAAAAAAAATCACAATTCAGTTCTTCCTGACAGTATGTGGACATATTTAAAGATTAATCTGGCTTTATATATTTTATCCAGTTTGTTCCTTCTGATTTGACTTTTGTTGAACTCTTCACTTGAGCTTGCATAAAACGGTCAACTCAAGATGCAGCACCAAAAATTACAGTTTCGAGAAAAACGATAGTCTCAAAAAACACTGTAAAACTTTACCTATTCACATCCAGTTATTTAACAATCAACAATGGTGTACCACAAGGCTCAGTCTTAGGACCCACCCTCTTTACAATCTACATACATAATGTAAGTAAAAACATCCCTAATGCATCCATACATTTCTATGCTGATGACACAGTTGTTTATTGCCGAGCTAAAACAGTTGCTAAGGCTTTCCAGCTTTTGAAATCTGCATTCAACATCATCCAGACTGATTTGTTTCACCTCAAACTTGTCCTAAATGCCGACAAAACCAAAGGGATGCTTTTTTCAAATAGGAAGTTGGTCCCGGCAGTTCTTCCTCCGATTTTATCCTCAAATGGTGTCCCCATTGAGTTTGTTGATTCCTGTAAATATTTGGGTATCTTGGTCGACTCACATCTCTCTTTTAAGCTCCATGTGGAAAACTTGATAAAGAAACTGAAAGTTAAACTGGGTTTCTTTTTCAGAAACAGATCCTGTCTAACCCTGAATGCTAGAAAACGCCTTGTATCTGTGACTTTCCTTCCCTCCATTGATTACGGTGACATTATTTACATGAACGCTCCTACGAGAACCCTGCAGATGTTGGATGCTGTCTATCATGGTGCACTAAGATTCATAATTGGCTGTGATTATCGTACCCACCACTGCACTCTGTATTCACTGGTTAACTGGACATCATAAACTTCACGCAGACTCTCTCACTGGTACATTTTCATCTTTAAATCACTTCTTGGTCTGCTGCCTTCATACATCTCCTCCTAGATGTCTCTGCGTGAGTGCAGCTACAGCGTGTGCTCTCAGGACATTATTACCTGCAGTGTTCCCTCAATGAGGACTGAACTAGGCAAAAGGGCCTTCTCCTACTCCGCTCCTGTTTCCTGGAATATCTTACAAAAAGATTTGAAGCTCTCGACCTTGACCTCTCTAAGTGGCTTTAAGAATCTGTTGGACTCCTGGCAGGGACCAATGCTGACATGTTCCTGTTTTTAGTTTTCTACATTCGCCTTAGAATCTAGCTGTTTTTTGTTACCTTTTTCTTTTAGCCATCCTATTTGTAAAAAAAAAACAAAAAAAACTGCTGTATGACTTTTTATAATTGTTTATTGTTGTTGCTGTTGTCCATTGTTGTCATCTTTCTTTGTTGAAATCAGGTCTCTCTTGTAAATGAGTCCTCGAGGCTCAATGGGATTACCTGTCTAAATAAAGGTTGAATGAACATGTATTGATACTACTTCAAAATTATTATAGAAAACTCTTTACATAAAACTGAACAGAATCATAACAGCAATAGTCAGACCAAGTAACAGGACTTCATTTGTAAAACGATTGATGCCGCATCACAAATAGTGGGTAGGCCAGCAGGGGTGTGTGTGTGTGTGTGTGTGTGTGCGGGTCCTCCTTCAGAAAATTTTGAATAAAGTAGATGGATTTTCTCCATTTTGGTATATTTTAACAGGTTGTTAAACATCTGTGTGCTTGTAAAAAAATTAAAATTATTATATATATATATATATATATATATATAATAATTTTTTTATTTTTTGCAAACCAGCAAGCACTGGCTCGCAGACCCCCGGGGGTTTAAGAACCACTGGTCTAATTGACAAAACTACCCCCCAAGGTGAACCACTGCTTTATGTTCTCAGGAATTACAACAATAATGGAAATAATCATCAGTTAAGAAAGATTTATTTATTATATCTGTTGTGTCAAATGACAGGTTTGACTTTTGAATTGCACCTCATTTTA